TGACCGTTCAGGTTGGGTGAAGGTTGTACAAAAAGCTGGCCCAAAGTCCCCGGTGACCGCTTAGCCGGACATGTGCCGGATAAGGGAAATCAACCCTATTTCGAGCCGAATGGACGAGTTTTAAAAGATACGTCTTAACCTATAACGAGATTTCTGTATTGGTTATGCACGGAAAATCGCGTACTTTATCGTTACTAGATACAATTTAATTAAAAAATTACAGTGTAACGGTAGGCATTTAAGTTTTAGTAAATCATATTTAAAAATTCTTAGTAAATTTAAGAAATGTATTAAAGAAAAGCTGTGTAAAAAGGCTTACTATAAAGTCAACGATTATCTAGTTGATAAAAGGGCCTGGGACTAGTGCTAGACAGGCTACTTCTAATTAATTTGCGATATTTGTTTTAAAATAAGTGTTGTTTGATGATTTGCTATTTTAAAAGAGGCCCTGATTCACATATATTATCGCTGAATGTCTCGCTAATGTGTGTTCAGGTTGTATTTCTGGAGAATAGAACTACCTTAAACTCTCCAGTTTTATTAGAATAGATGAGATGAGATGAGATGAAAATAGATGAGCAGTGAAATACCAACTACACGATAATAGATGGCGCTAGTATTCTAAAAATTTTTTTTTTCAATACCAATTTTATGATATTCCTCTCTTGCTGACTATGGTAGCTGAAAATTACTTGAAACGTGTAATATAAAAATATAATATACCTAAAGTCAATATACATAAAATAAAAACGCCCTTATGAACAAAAATTAACTAAAATAAATGGTAAACTATGATTTATACAAAGCAATTAAGCAAATTAGTTACAATTTAAGTACGCAGTTATTTTTTTATAGATAAACGAAAACGGGCAGGCCGCTTAACTGATGTTAGGTGATACATGAAGAAGAAGGCTTGCAAGTATGTTGTTTTTATTGATTGGTACGCTTTTTTCTAAAAGGACCCTAAGCCGAATTGGTTCGGAAATATGTACTTCATTGGGCAGCTGGTGGTGGTGGTGCGCGGCAAAAACTGCCTTAAAACGCTCAGTTGTGGTTATATCCGTTAACAAAGATTAATTAAGAACTAATTTAAATTTAGATGATTTTAATCTATAACTGAGGTTTCTAATACCTAATTTTAAACTTTGGTTTATTGCAATTTGTTTTATTTGAATGTTAAAAATAAAATAAATAAATCACTGGCGCTACAAACTTGTTACGTCTGGACATTTCTGTATCTGCTTCATGATCATTTGTCAATCTGAGTAAGATCTGATCAAGGTGATTTGCCTGACACAAGCCGTCGACTTTTTGGGTCTAAGACATGTCGGTTTCCTCACGATGTTTTCCTTCACCGTTCGAGTGAATGTTAAATGCGCATAGAAAGAAAGTCCATTGGTGCACAGCCAGGGTACGAAACTACGACATCATGGATGAGAGTCGCACGCAGAAGCCAACACTGCTCTGTGCAACACTGTTAATAAATACTAGCACCTATTTTTAGATGCAATGCATGAAATTGAAACCGGCACATGAAATTAATTTAAAAGCGATATTTCATCAATTTTATCATCCAATCAATCTATCAATAAATTATTTGCGCATAATGGAATAACAGTTTACATTCATATTTAAATTAAAACCTTTTTAGATGTTCATAGAGATCTATCCAATCTATGGTATCAGGAAATTAAGATATACAATTTGAAATCTTAATTTACATTAGATGAAACTTGTTTTGTTTCATTACTTATTTTATTTATTACCTTTGTTCCGCCTTCTCTTCAAATTATAATTAAGCAATTGATATATAACAATTAAGAATCATTGAGTGTTATAGGACTAGCAATGATAAACTGTAATTTTCAGTAGCCAATGCCAATGGTAAGACGATGTAGTTCTCTCAACATCAGCAGCATAACCATAGTGGCTTCAGCTTCATCCCTTAATGAGTTCGAACGCCTAAGACGCCTGTATGGTGAAGGAAAACGTGAGGAAACAGTGGCGTGCTTGACCCAGTCGATTGCGACCAGCAAACTAGGTGATCGCCTTGCCTCCGCATAGAAAAGCCGCCATCATTACCAATAGGTTGGAGTTACTACCGGTTCGGAATCAATACCTAGACCCAGATTTTAGAGCGTTATAGTAGAGCTTCGTTGTCTTTCAATATTATGCTTAATTTCTACAAAAATCTAGAGTTTTGGAGGGACACCCTCTTAGTGGAATTGTTTACCTTTGAATTAAATTTTCAGTATTTCTCATATTAGAAATTATTAATTAATTTGAAATTTCTCAGCTTAGAACTCGCATTGCGCGATGTTACGTCTTCTCTGTGCTTCTCTACTTCTTGGAGACTATGTCCAAAAAACTGGAAGAGTTTGAGATCTGGGTTTAACAACATAATATGCTTAAAATATCTTGGCTAGATCGCAACGATAGGTCAACCGTTGCGCTGAGAAAAGCCTGTTTCCTTACCATGTTATCCTTAGACTGTGCGCACATAGAAGGAATTTCCATTGGTCGGGGTTGAATCATACGACCTCAGGGATCAGATTAGGGCTGGAGCCATTAAGCAAATTAATATGATGAATTTATCATTGTATTGCTTTCATAAAATCATAATTAACTCAGCTAAGTCTACTGCAGCGGTAAATACCGGTCAGTTGGTTAAATTAGGTCCTACATATGAAATTGGCGTTTTGTATGGGAGGAACAAAAGTCGGATATTTTTAAATATAATATATTTAATTAATTAAAGTATGAACCATTGTTTTCTATCACTTTTGCCATTTCATAGGTAGTTCATGATCCCTTTACAAAAAAACCAGTCGGACGGGAATCAATAAAATCTGTGAAGGGCGATTTGGACTGCCCCCTCAGAGTTAAATTTTTTTCCAAGAAGTTGACCCAAATTTCGAAAAAAATGGTAATCTGTTGGAGCAAGGTCCGGGGAGTACGGAGGATGTCTTAGACATTCCATTTGAAGCTTCTTCTAATTTGGTAGCCGTCTGTTGTGCAGTGTGTTGTCTAGCGTTGTCGTGAAGTAGCAGTGGCGTGGAGCGATTGACCAGCCTAGGTTGTTTAGCCGCTAGGTTTTCCATCATGGTTTGCAATTGCTGACAATAGACATCAGCCGTATAATAGTCTGGCCAGATTTGAGAAAACTGCAATGAACAATACCGGCACTAGTCCACCAAACGCTTACAAGTAACTTTTTTGGGGTTAATCTCGCAAAGAATCAGTAATGTAACGCAGGAGTCACGCGCGTTTGGGTTAGCTCATCAATTCGTGAGGTACCCATCTTTCAAGCTTTTTAATCTTCCCAATTTGCTTCAAGTGAATTAAAACAGTTTTATCACTAAGAATAAGAATAATTTATTTCCCTCCCAATTTATTCTCCCAAATAACATTTACAACAAACAATAAGAATAACACCGCAGCCTGCAGCTAACTCGGATGTGGTTTGCGAAGGATCCGCTTCCACTATAGCCTTCAATACTTCATTATCAACTTGGGTCTCAGGCCTTCCACGGGGCTTGTTCTGCAGGTCGAAATTTCCAGAACGAAAACGTTGGAACCAAAAACGAACTGTGTTTTCCATTTTGCAGCGACACACATCATTCACATTCACCCTTCGAGCCGTTTCAAACGCAACACAGGCTGTAAAAAGTGACGCAAACAGAAAAAAAAACAAATGAATAACGGTCATCGAAGCACAAATACATGAGTAAATAGCTGTACAAATTTTTTTGGTCCTTCCAAAGGGAAACATGGTGGCCAGTACGAAATACGTATGTAATATTTTCACAATTCGGTAGCACTACTTTAAGTGAATTATATTTATAGATAGTGTCATGGCTACACAAAGGGCTAACACACCGTGTCGAATTGTCAAACAAGTTATTTTCTGTTTATGAAACATGACGTGTTTCCTGTCTGTTAACTTGTCAATAAACTTATAACAGCTCAATAAGCTGTAGTCTATATTTAATATTAACTGTTAAGCTGAACGGTTAGGTTAACAATGTGTTTATGTAATACATTGTTTACTTATATTGATTGTTTTTGTTTTATGTACATAAGGTACTTTTAAATGATGTATAAAACAGATGCAGAAATGTATCATAATCTAAAAAAGCAAAACAAAACTTAATTTATTATAAAACATCGGCATAAATTTTATAAAAGATTTTTTTTCATTAACAAATAAATTAACTGTTGTATTCAACTTTACATTTTATTGATTTACATAATATAGACTTTGACGTCTCGCAGCTTTAAGGGTGGGGTTAAGAGTCTAGACTTAAGCGCTGAGTTTGACTCCCGAATGTCAAAAACGCATTGGATTTTTTACTCACGAGATTCTTAGTTCGTAAGTCTCAACTCTAAAACTTGCATAGAAATGCAAGGTGATCGGTATAGGTATTTTACAGTTTCGAGACTCCCTTTAGAATAGGCAATTTATTCTTTATAAAGCTGATTAAGTAGTTATATCGGGGAAAGGTTTCTTATATGAATTATAAAATATCTATGCTGTCTTTTGTAGCCAATGCCATTATCAAGCTCTACAACGTTTCTCTAGAACTCAGTCATAATATATGATTCATCTCAGACATCTCATCAAAGCGTTCGTAAGAAACGTTTACGTTGTCGGACTTAGCAAATCCGACTACCACGAAACTCATTTCATTTTTCTTGAATATATAGCATATGACACTCACAAACAACACAGCTTTCTGGTCTTTCAAAAACGGTTCAGTAAATCCGGAGATTACTACAACTTCACCTACCTCTTTATAATATTTTATACCGCCGCCCACGAACACTCTCAAAGAGGGCTCGCGATTGCGTTTAAGAATTGGTACGCTCTTTTCTTGAAGGACCCTAAGTCGAATTGGTTCGGAAATACTTCAGTGGGCAGCTGGTTGCATGTAGTGATGGTGCGTATAGACATAATGTAAGTATAGATTAACATACAAGGTATATATATTATCACTTACCGCCACTCTACTCTCTTTGAGATCCAGCCTCATAGCCAACGCCTCTCTCATGAAGACGTCTGGATAATGCGACGCAAGGAAAGCTCTCTCCAGCTCCTCCAGCTGCCAGGAGTTGAAGTTGGTTCTGGATCTTCTTCTTTTGCCACTGTCACCATCATCGTCGCCGACTCCACCTGGAATTGATATACCAAATATAAATGTCTGTTTTTGAAAAAAAAATACTTCAGACAGTGAATATTTACTGTCATTAAGCTATTAATTTTTATTATTTTTTTATTTTTAGTAATACTTTTATTATTTAATTTTTAACAATTGCGTATTCATATACTTTTCTTAATAATTAAATATAATCTAATGACGAAATAAAAAAGTAAAATCAACAGCTTCATGAGAGAAGAACAGAGCGTGACGAAACTAAATCATAGGCGCTACAACCTTTACACAACCAAAGGCCAAAGGCCTCCCGTTATAATGTTTAATAGTGAGTCTTTAATGTAATTATAACATATAAATTAATTGCATATGAAAACGAGATAGTTATCTTCATAGATAACTGAAATAATTGAACTACTTACATTAACAGACGTTTTTAATAGCCCATTGAGTGAACTGACAGCAGGTCCGCGTTATGTCAGTTCCTATACGGTAAGAAATAGTGTTTTTTGTAAATGTTTTAAAGTATTACTGTTTAATTTGTGTTGTTTTGAAGTGAAACTACGGTAGGCGCATGAGGGTAAAATTTTTTCGAATGAAACGCAATAATAATATTAGCGTCACGAAGATGTGCAGCGTTTTCGTCGAAGATAAGGGAGACAGCGATTGAGAGAGGGTTAGAAAGGGCAAACGTAGCAATATACGAAATTCTATTTTTAAAATTAAAATTTCGTAAAGAGAATTTATGAAATATTAGTATTTTATATTTATATTTTTTTAAATATTTTATTCGTCATTTGAGATTTCAATAAATTATTTTGCATACAATATAAAATACTAATATTTTACTATATTACTATTAATTTAATCAATGCGAAATTTTAATTTTAAAAATAGAATTTCGTATATTTTCAATTTGTGTATCTATATTCGCAAATATAGGTACCTATACAAATACATACTAGATGATCATCTATTAGTAATAATTAATTTACAAAGAAGTTTCACTTCTGACATATGTGTACTTTTTTTTCTATGTGTGTATATTGTTTTGTATGTGATATAAATGTTATTTATTTTATTTTGTTAACAATAAATAAATAGAATAGGTATTAGGTACCTACTGAAAAGCCTACATTAAAAGGCAGTAGTAAAAATGTCATTACATGGACCAAACTCTTTGCCTGTTAAAATAAACCAGCGGCCGGGGGCTCATAAAAAACAGATAATCTCCGACAAAACGTCAGAACAAGTTTCAGAAAATAGAATATAATTTCTAATTTTCTCCCGGTTTTAATTAAAAATGGTCCCTAGAGAGGGACGGCTATACTCGGACGCCGAGCGCCAGAGAGGGACGGATGTAAATTAGTCTTCCCTCCACCTAAATAAATTAGAAGTGATTAAGAGATGCCGTTGTTATGAACACGTCGTTATCCTGCCTTTTAATTTACTAAAGTGTTATGAATCTACGGAACTCATAGAGAATTAAGCTGTCACTCAGTGTAATTGAATGAATTTTTTAATAAATAGCCGAAACTTTAGATATTTGGAAACGTAACCGTATGTACTTTGTTTACGTTTAAAAGAAAATAAACTTTACTGGACACGTTTCAAAAGAAATCAATTATGTTTTTCGTAATACGAAACATCGTGACAATTTTTGAAGTTATACTTCTTTAGGCGCGTTATGAAAAATTGATGAGAGTGAAATTTTACGATGCGCGCGCACCGTGACACTAAATTAACAGAATGAAGTTGCCGACGGAAGATGCTACGGCATTGGACATAATTTAAAAACAACATTCGAATAATAATAGAATTTATGTTACACTTAATGTAAGAGAATAATAATAAATTTTTATTTATTTAATTTTTCAAATGTAAACTGAACTTTATTGACTATAATGACTCCTTTTCCAGTCTTTGATTATTTAATTGTAATTAATTGTTTGCATGCAATCAAAAACTATTTTTAATAATGCCAAAGAAGTATAACGCGCGTACATAAGTAGGTACACGCACCCTTTTTATGATTTATTTTTTTATAGTAAAAAGGCGTAATTTTCCTTTGAAAATGCTAGCGTTAATTTACTGATGACTAATTTTATACTGAACTGAATGTTTCAAATGCTCTATATCATTTGTGTCACTTCCGCATATATAATTATATACTCGAAGTTCGGTCAGATCAATGAATTATAAGAGAAATTAGGCACACGAGTGCGAGAGAGACGCACAGATCTACGGAGTGAAAGAGATGACGGCATTGTATTAAAATAAACGAGCGCCTTGGGTCCACAGACAACAGTTTTGGCGCGCTTTAATTTAGTCTGGCGTATTTTAATGGTGGGTGGAGGGGGGGTAATAAGTATCTATTTGAGGGTTGTAACTTAATAAATTCGTACAGTTAATAATTCCACTTTGTTCCGTTGTTTTGTATGAATAATGAACTTTGTTTGTTAAGTAAATTATCATCTGTGGTAATTGATATGTTTATTTGAATTTGGAACGTCTCTGTGGCTTCTCTATTACAAATCAAATTTAATCAACGCGTAAACATTTTGCTATATATTTTCATGTTCTTAGTTTCTGGTATTTACCTACATTATATTTACTGACTTATGAACATTAGTATCTTTGCAATTCAAATAATAATGAGATCTTATTTTTACTTTTTTATTACGGCCATCAAACCTATCAGATATGCGTTTGTGGATGTAACTGTTTTATAGAATTTAATTTTTAATTTTTATACAGAACTGGACAGACGTGTGGTCACACAGACATACTTAGGTAACCTACCGCGCGTCCAAAACCGATATTATTAATATTTAGATTTAAGCGTTTCGACATATTGTTTTTTCAACAAATGCCACACATCCTAATACGTAACAATTTCAAATAATAAATCTTATAAAATAACTATTACGTAATGTCACAATAAAACCTACGTTCAATCTATTGATCTCGCAATGCACGAAAAACTAATCAGACACACTCATAAAGATGTTATCAGCGAATATGATATATGAAGAAATCCCCTATTCAACGTAATAGAATAAACGCTATCACAGATTATATTGAATATGAACATTTAACTGGTCTCATGCGATTGTCTATAAATAAAAATATCGGATACTTTGCGTGAAACATTGTTTAGTTAAGCTCTGTTTGCGAGTAATTGAAAAAAGATTTGCCTTCATATGAAATTCGAATCTTTTAGTCTTTATAGTTTAATGATTTAGCGGCTTTTGCATTCAGAAACTGTCTTTATCGGGAATAATCTTCCAAATATATTGAAAATATAGATTTTGACAATGCTTTAGCGAGGTTTAAGCAATATTTAATTACTAAGTGCTATTAGAGTTTTAAACAAGACATTTTTAGGTTACCAAAGAAATTTACAATATGATAACTAAAATTTAAAATAACACTAATATTATAAAGTAGGATTTTATTGTTTGTTTTCATTTATATCTACGGCTCAAAAACTACAGGATTCCTTATGCCTGGAAGCTTCAGGGTTAAGATGATTTATCCCTGATGAACATAGGCTATAGAATATTTAAAAAATGTTCGAATTCTGTATGATATTACTGAATGAGATATTGTCACTCAGACTTGTGAAATGATTCCCAGAATCGCTGTGGAAACTATTGACAACAGATCAAAGTGATCTACTAAACTTATAGAAGACAATATCAACAAAAAAGTCCGCGACACCATGTCTAACAATTTTCTTTTTGCATTAAAATCTATTTTAACAATGAACGATAAACTTTATACAATATCGTGCTACGACCGAATTATTTCTGATATAGAGCACTGTTAAAGAGCACATGATTAAAAAGAGTGGCGGAGAGTTTATTGCCAGTTCTTCTCTTCTGTTCTATGCCCTTGATTTTAGAAGTGGCATTTAATGTAAAATTAGAAGCATATAATTAGTTTTTGACGTTCATAAGTGTACATTGTGTTACCTATATGAATAAATGATTTTGATTGATTGAGTTAATATGTAACATTATAACTTTTGCTAGTTTTAGTTCTTTCATTATTTTATAACAAAATACAAACGTTTCTTGTAAGTATAAGTATTGAATCTGCTTTCTTATTGCCCTTCCCCTGATTATAGCCGTTAATAATATTAAGTATATATTTGCTCATGTTTCTGGAAGTGAATGTGATCGAGTTTTTAAAGTGTTCGAATTATGTTTGCTTTGTGGGTGGATTGTAGGTTAATAATTGTTTGAATTGCAGGTTGTATATATGGACGATTTTTTTAAGCGGAAGCACTTAACACACTACACACATAATGTTATGTATCGAATCGGGTGTGACGAATAAGTATCGCAATATAGCGTGGAAATGCTGCTTTTTTAATTTGTTTCAATTTTCTTTTTATTTATTATTTTTATCATTACTATGTAGGTTGGAAATATTGTAAATAGATACTATTAGCGTGTTGGAAATAAATATATTATTATTTATTTAATAAGTAATTTATATATACATGATATATGTATTCATAAGTATTGTTTATCATAGCAGTGATATGGATTTACATATATAGATTTGCCATTGAAATTGCAGGGAGGGGCGGAATCTGTACTCCAATTAAGTTTCCGAGATACGCGATCAGTAGATAGGATTTTTTTTTTTAATCGCATCGTGCAATCAGTTTTCTGACTATGAGCAGTGAGTTGTAGGATGATTTAGAACTAGACTTAGATAAACTTAGAAATAGTAGATAGGATCTAGAACATAATGTAAACAAGCGTATAACTGAGAATTGAAAAAACTCACTCTCACTCTTGGCAGACTTGTCAATGGATGCCTATTAAATTTGGTTAAATGACGTGACGTTGGAATGCTTGGGTATAAGGTTAAAAATAAATAGATTGCGAATATTCGAATACTATAAAGATTATATTAAGTATATGTTATTGTATTTAATATTAGCACACGACCTCCGACGGGGTGAAGACATCCAAATACTTCAATTTGTCTCTCATCTTTTACTACTATTTTCCTCTTCCCAGGTTTCTAGTGAGCCCTTTTCAAAAAAGGGTTTAAGGTTACATTTAAAACGTTGTTTTTTCACTCGGGTTCATCAACTATATATAAACTGAACGTTAACTCAGACATAGTAAATTGAATAAAGTAATTCATTACTATAATATTACTATCGTTTTCGTCTAAGATTTTTGTAGGGCAGTATTTTATAAAATAATGATATCTTATAAATAATTAGGATTAAAATAGGTATAGTTGATACTATCATGTTTTTATTATCGATTTGTTTTATTTCAACTGAAATTGTTCTTTAATAAGCACAGAATTTCGTTTGATCTAAATACAGTCACGCACAGTTTTTAAACATTCCATTTTCGAAAAGCTTTCGCAAATACAAATAATTATAACTCGCGGTAACGGCGTCGGTGATCGCCTATAATTTGGGTTCGATCCCGGGAAATTAATTTCGAGATCACTGCCAATAATAAAGCAATAATTCTCCCGCAAAATACGTACCTGCCAGTTTTTGGAGCCACGCCCTTCGCAAACGTACGTGGTGTTACTTATAAAATTGAAACAATATTAATGATCGTTGGCATGCAATTTATCATGCCACCAATTCTTTAATACGCATTTAGAATTTGTAGTATACAACAATTTATATAGTAGTAAGATTTTTGACTACTATATAAATAAATTGATTTACATAATATATAGTTGAAGATTTTTGATTTTCTTTTACGTAATATTAACTAATCTATAAGCTCATTACAACTATAATTTGTTTAGCTTAGAAATTATGAAACTATGTCGACGTAGTAAGGGCAAAAAATAACTATTTTTGAAATGGAATCAACTTATTAAATATAACTAACGCGCGATCTCTTCCAGGCAACCCTAGAAACGAAAAAGAAAACAAGAAATATTATTATATAATACTGGGATATTCTATAATAATTACCATACTTGTACATACATTTTCTATAAATATTTTTTAAGTAGCTTGTTTGTTTACATTGATGTACCAATTTGAGTAAAATATTGATTTCTATTGTTTGTAAGAGATTTTTACAATTCTTAATGACTGCTTAAACATGTGATGGAGTGTGTTAATAGAGACTGTAAGTAGTGTACTTGGGTAAATAGTAGTAAATTAGGTTAGATTGTAAGGTTTCATTAAAAAAAGCTATATGTAAGCTTTTAGCTTAGTATTTTAGCGATATTTTTGGTAAAAAAATGTTTCACAAAACATTTCATTAGTACACAATTTCCGTATAAACAGCACACCCTGTATAAAAATCAAGTCACACATAAAAAATCGATCACGTCAATGCAGTCTTGTAAAATTATTGAGAATTTAATATGCGATATTTACGACAAGTTTTTTTCGAAACGTGTTTGATATGAAGACATCGATCGATACTTACGGAAACGGTCGGTGAATAATAAACATTTCCACGAAATTGCTGCAACCAGTGAAACACCTTTCATTTAAATTAATTTTTACGACGATAATCTGTGGAAGCGACGATTTTTCTGTGAGCCATTTTGACAGCTCTGTCAATCATCGCTTGTCAATCCTTCTGTCGTCTGTTTTATCCTGTTATACATGTAGATTTTTTGCTTCAAGAGATAATATATGTCTGTTTCTTAAGGCAGTTTTTGCCGCGCACCACTATTATGTTGAACCAGCTACCCACTGAAGTATTTCCGAACCCATTCGATTTAGGGTTCGGAGAGGCCGTACTGATTGCAACTTGCGAGCCTTCTGGCAATGTAAGTGTACATGGGCGGCGGTGTCATTTAACATCAGGTGAGCTTCATACCCGTTTGCCGCCTGTTAAAAAAAAAATTATATACTTTTCTATAATAATATTGCCAGAGTGAAAAGTTAATACTTTTAAAAGAGAGATATCGTATTTCTACCTGTTGTTATATTTTATTTCTTTCAATAATTTACACGTAATTCCGAAAAATACCATATCTAATGTATTACGTACACTCAGTCGTTTTTCCTATGTATTTGTTTATTAAATAGGTCAGCCAACAGATTGGCACCTTAACATACCTATCGAAATATACTTTGCACTATAATAGATTACCACCACCAACAATATACCCAATTCAGGTTGACACAGCTTGCGCGTATCTACCACAGAAAGTCTTTCCGCGTACTGCGACTGAATGTTTGCAGCTAAACCATGAATCAGCGTGTCACTGATTCACTTCAACAGACTCAGCCCGGATGCGTCTATGTATACGCGCCTGGCACGGTGTAGTCCGACCACTAAAAGTCTTAGTAAAAAGTCTGAAGTAAAAAGTTGCCTATAATTAATTATGATTTAATTCGTAAATAATAGAATTCATTATAATTTTACTTTGGCATACTCCGTCATATTCATTATCATTAAACGGTATTTTGCCTCCAGCAGACGGGATTCAAAGATTGAAACGTGATAAATGGATATTACAATACATTACGCGGCGTATATTAACGGCAATTTCGGCCAGGCGATATGAGGCGTAATAAAATTTAAATATTTTATAAAAACAATATTGATCACTTTAGATTTTGAATAATGGTTACTTTGTCCTGCTTTATGTGTGTGTGTGTGAGAGAGAGAGAGATTTAATTTAATTTGTTATTTAATAATAAAATTTATTGCAAGAATATGGTACAAAAATGTTATGGTGGTACAATCTAAAGTTCGCATATTCTGCCACACATAAGAGCGGGCAAATTTGTCTTAAAAGTTAGAATTTTAAATAGAAGTTATTTCTCACCTTTTCTGTAACTGTTTTAGTTAAAGGCATTGCGAACATATGATTACGCAAAATGG